TAAACCCCGCACCGGCAAGCCGTGAAGAAATTAGAGAAAGTGCAAAGGTTTGTGACAAAGTTCCAGAGCTAAGGGGAATGTCCATAAAGAAAGGTTGAGGGAAATTGGCCTGACGACACTGGAGGACAGGAGGATAGGGAAGACATGATAATGACATACAAATTACTGCAGGAATAGACAAGGTGGACAGAAACAAGATGTTCCAGAGAGGGAACACAGAAACAAAGGGTCACTCTTGGAAGTTGAAGACTCAGATGAGCCACAGGGATGTTAGGAAGCATTTCTTCAGTCATATAGTGGTCAGGAAGTGGAAACAGTCTGGTGAGCGATGTAGTGGAGGCAGGAACTATACATGGCTTTAAGACAAGGTATGCTAAAGTCATGGAGCAGGGAGAGAGAGGACCTAGTAGTGTTCAGTGAAGAGGTGGGGCCAGGAGCTGAGTCTCGACCCCTGCAACTACAATTAACCCTTTCAGGGTCCGTGCCGTAGATCTACTGCTTTATGTTCAGGATCCAAACCGTAGATCTATGCCATGAGCTCAACTCACTCTGATAAGCTGTGAGTGGTAAATTTGGGCCTTGATATGAGAGAATACATCTTTGTAGTATGTGTGCACCACATAAAACAAATCCTGCAGCACACTGTGTATAATGAGAGAAAAAACTGAGACCGTGATTTTCGATTAAAGCAGCGACTTTGCAGTGTTTTTCGTATGTTTTTTATAGTTGTATTTGCGATTTCTTGGTCTCAATTGATAGACTGGAAGATATATTACAGAAATAGAAATGATTTTGATTGGTTTTAGCACTGGAAATGGCTTGAAACTGAGCTCAAAGTAGCGGAAATGTTAAATTTTTGCCGATGTTCAAGAGTAAACAAGCAAACTCACACATTTAATACACACCAGCTGGTGGGTCTAATATACATTCACAAATGTGGTGATGATATTTGTACATTCATTACAATATTGCATAAGAGTAAATCTTCTATTTTTTGGTTTGAATAAAAATTCATTATGTGAATAAAAAATCAAAATAGAATTCATTTGTAAAGCCTCAAAATGTAACTAATGAACAGAGGAAATGTTAATTTAGTGCCAGGAATACCTACATTGTTTATTCTGGACACTATTTTGAAATTGGAATATTTTGAACTTTGTGTTAAATTGGCCAAATTACCAATTTCCGATTACTTTATTTTGTAGTTGAAATAGTTGACTTGGCAATTTTTTGTGCTTAATCGATAGATAGAAGTAATACTAGTGAAATAGCTGAGAATTTGGTCAACTGGAATAATGTAATTGGCCTAAAATGGGAGTCAAAGTCGGCAAAATCGCTGATCGTAAATATCACTGACACATCAAAATTTGAGAGAGCATAATTTCGTCAATTTTCCATCAAATTTCGCATTTTTTGTTTTATTACCTTCAGAAAAAGATTCTCTACCATTTCATAAGAAAAAATAACAAAAATATTTTTTTTTTTTTAAATTCTTGAACCCTGGTGCACACTTTGAAATTTGGCCTCTGGACCCTGAAAGGGTTAAGTGAGTACAATTAGGTGAGTAAATGCACACACACTGGGTTATTTACAGTAGGCAAAGTCAGGGTATTTATCAAGAAATGGTTGGTACCACTGTGGAAAAAATACTTTGACATTTCTAAGTGAGTTGTCTCTGACTTCATTAATTTTATTGCAGTCCAGTACAAATGATGGAAGTGTTGGCACAATGTTCATCTGACAAAGTTTATATTTAGGATAGTCTACATTTGGTGATGGTGATTTTAACTTCCCCATCACATTAATATACAATCTGACATGTTTTTTTTTTTTTTTCATAGTCACCTCCACAGATCCCCCAGACCCAGAATGCGCTCACGCAGATTCGTGCTGAGATCTCCAGCTGGACACACGGATATAAAGTTGAACACGGATCTAGAAGTGCTGTACGGAGCTGGCAGCGCAGCTGATGCCGGAATCACGAGGTTACCAGGCCCTCTACACTAGCCAACCAGATGGTCAACTCCATCACAGCGTGAGATGACAGGTGGATCCTCATCTATTTGCTTGGCTGTGTGGGGGGGTGGTTATTAATGGAGGGTGTTGTTATTGTTCATGTTGTTGCTGGCTGTGTTGCTACTGTGTTCAATGTTGTTGCTATACCACTCACTGCCACGGAAAGAATCATGTATTGCTACTGTTGTTGCTATTGTTGTTGCTATTGACCACTCT